TTTCAAAGAAGAAGAAGAAGAAAACAACAACAACAACAACAACAACGATGATGACAACGACGACAACAACAACAACTAAGCTATTCAAGTAGGAATGATTTACTAATCAGAAGTTAATTTCTTTTGTTGAATCAACTTTCTCATGATGATAGTCGATTACTTGTATAGTATTTGACAATAATGATGATAGCACTAATGAAATGTGATGATATTCCAATCTATTGATAGTTTATTTCTATAAAAAAGAAACACACACAATTAACTGAATTTTGATTGTAATTAGAATGTAACGAAAAAGACTGGGAGAAAGAAGTATAAAGACTAAATACAGAATAAATTCCCTTTGTTGTTGTTGTTGATGATGATGATGATGATGATCGTTTGTATCTTCGCATTGTTGTTAAAGACTGTAATTGATCAATCTATTGTTGATATATGTATATCTTGTGCGGATTAACTCGATATTGCTTTAAGTCACAAACATAGAATGGTCATAAACTGATTGGTAATTTAATTTGTTTATAATAAATAAAAATTGTTGATTGAATTAGTTAACTTATTTGTTTGTTTGTTTGTTTTTGTATATCAACATTGAAATAGATTTTCTTAGGACTTTTTAACGATACAATCAACATAATAATGATTGAAATGTATAGAAAAGTTGAAAAAAATATTTCTCAATGTTTTATGTGAGGATGGTCAATGAATGAACTCGAGGATGTTCTAAGAAGCTCAGAAAGAGCCAAAGATATTCCATCCAATCGTCTTTTGGAAGTATATTCTAGAATATTGACGTGTAGCTTCCTTATTGGACAAATGCTAAAACCTTCTGTATACGGATTACTTTACTTACTTTACTCACGCCTGTGACTCTTCGTGAAAAAAGCGTAGACCGCTCACCAGCATTCCCCATCCAACCCTGTCCTATTCACCACTTGTCTGTAGCTTAATTTTGTGTGACCATAAATATTGATTAACGCTTGACTAAATGGAGTTGGCTAACACTCATTCTCCACTGTGTGTAATTTCGCTTTGCTCTCTGAGCTTCGTTTCTTCGATTGTATGAAATACACATATTCGAAATTCATTCTCGTGATTTGACTTATTTAATTCCGTTATTGGCTAATGCGATTTAAGTTGATGATTATATACGAGGATTGACGACATATGTACTTCAATAGCAATCATTCATACAATCTCACTGGAGTCAGATCTCGGGTCACTAATGTTTACATTATTATTCTGGACAAATGTTTCAGAACAATAGAAATAAACAAAATTTTTAAAATATTGTCATTTGATTCTACTATTAGACGATTATTCACATAAAAGGAGAGCTGAAAGCATATTTATATACATATATATATAGTATTTATAGTTTTTTGGTGAAAATTATAGTCATCCAATCCACCATCAAGAAGGTACAAGTATTTATAAATGGTTGTCTACGCAAGATACCCAACATCCATTGGCCGGATACCATCAGCAACAGTCTACTGTGGAAGAGAAGAAACCAGCTTCTAGCTGAAGATGAAACTAAGAAAAGACGATGGAAACGGATAGGACATACATTACGCAAATCATCAAACTGCATCACGAGACAAGACCTAACTTGGAATCGTGAAGGGAAGCGGAAAAGCGGAAGGCCAAAGAACACATTACGTTGGGAAATAGAAGCAGATATATTACATAACCATACATTCCTTATAGTTCACTTGAGTAATTTTGAAATATTAGCTTCATAGGGCGTTTTTGGACAAATACTTTGTATTGTTTATCCATTAATGTACTTAATTTTTATCTGATTACCTTTTTTTAAAAATAACATATAAGTTCATATTATGTAATATTGAAATGAATTCTTCGATTTGACAAATATGAAATTGAAAAACTTATAAAAAGAATGAAATATCGGAGTGAACATCAACTCTGGTATGCAGATATATCCAGTTGATGAATCTCAAATAGGACGAAACCCACGTCCTGGATTCCACTGTTAGCCATCATCCATTTTTGCTTAAAAAGTTTGTGACTTAAGACAATATCGAGGCAATCCGTAAAGGATGCACATATGCCAACAAGAAACCGATCAGTTTTAGTGCTAAACATCAATGGGAAGATACAAGCAAATAATACCAAGTGAATTTGAATATCAGTGTTGTTTCTCTAAAATTATATTAATTGAAACGAAGTAAATTGTTCAATAAAAGATTGTCAGTAATTTTAGTATGATTTAGGTTGATAATATCAATATCAATAATGAAAAAAAATAACAATATACTTCCTATGAATGAATACTGAAAATTAAGATATGGAGGAAGATGGAGACTACATCCATCTGCTATCGATTCTGAGCCAACCTATCCGTTAGACAATATTCAACGACAGTTGATGAGGCTTCCAAGATAGGTGAAGTAGCCCAAGCACTCAGCTATTTCACTGCTGTGATCAATTTAAGTTTTGCTACACACTAGCAAGAATTTGTAAATAGTGGGAGTGAAACGTCTGCCAAACCTGCTTGAATTATTTCTCATGTGACTCTGGACCATATCAGCATCTTCAATGGACAAAACTGTGTCATCTGCCTATTCCAAGTCTGTTAGTAAGTTTCAAAGAAGTGACCAAACCCTAAAACGTTAGATAAAAAATCATTTTTGTGGAGGACATCTGCGGTGAAACCAAACAAAGAGGTGAATAGTGAGTAATACTAACGAACACAACTTGCAGTTGACAAATCAATTTCAAATGGCTAAACGTTATCCCTTTAAAATCTTATTCGTTATAGTTAACTCCCGTTTCAACGTTTGATAGTTGTTATCGAATTTATAAAACATAATCTAAAACACATAGAATAACTAAGTAAATTACTGAATTTGGTTAACAACAGAACAGTTCATTTTATTAAATGTTTAATAGAAATTTATTTAGTGGTTGAATTCACTAGTCAATTGAAGCAAGACCACCATGAAAAACCTGGAAGAACTCGATGGCCGTTTTGTCCCAGTATGGGACTCCTCAGCAGGTCTCGTCCACGATCCCGCCAGCGGGATTCGACCTCAGGACGTTTCGGTCTTGCGTGAAAGTGCTTAACCTCTACACCACTGAGCCGGCATCCAACAGTGTTATCGTCTAACTTTACTTGACGAAAATGAACCATTAAAACCACGAAGTTTAGCGAAGGAACCCGTTCTCAACGAATTTACTGTCATGTTCTACAATCACATGTATATATTAAGAAAATTTTTATGTTAAAATACTAATTTGTTACCAGCTTATTAAGTTTATTTATATTAATCATACTGCGTAATCTAGTATTATAAACTTTCGATTGCATCATCATGATTTTTCCTTGTTCATATGTCCTCACGGAACGAATTCGTTGAAAAGAGATCTATCTTCATTGAACTTTGTGTTTTAGTGTTTAAATGGGAATTATATGTCAATCTTAAACAAATATAGGTGCGGTGTTAGCTTCAATATTCTGTGAATGTTTTGCATATTCTATGATGAACTATGGTACTTACAATTATAAACCTAAATATATACGAAAAATCATAGTGATAGTCAATATTTCCCATTAACATGGAGATTACATAATATAATGATGGACTATTCTATCATACATAAGTCAGTTTATATTATATTAAAATTTAATTTTTTTGGGGGAGGGGGTAACACATAAGTAACATAAGTAAGGTCAACTGAATGTATTTCAATATAAAATTACAGAACATTTTAGTAAAATCTGAGAATTACACAGTTATTGCTTTATTGTTCTTTGGTTTCCACATCAATCATTCTTTGTTCTCATTCTCTTTTCTATGATCTTCTTAACCTTCTTCCGCCAGGTATTTCACATTCCACTGGTAATACATACACTACTTATATCTGTTAACATCAGTAGCACATACCACACTTTGTCTCTTAATAAGATAACATCTTATCCTTTACGAATTTGCATGATGTTTACCTCGAAGTTTTCAATTAAAATATTATTCATTGAATCATTTTTTTGGTTATCTTACTTTTAAAACTTGCATATCTACAGCACATTTTATTGATTTCTAATTAAACTGTAATTATTATATTCATTTGGTATTGTTTGGCTTGTATCTTCTCATTGAGGTTTAAGACTGCAATTGATCAGTCTGTTATTGACGTATGTGCATACTGTGCGTATGTCTTGTTTTTGCCTTAATTCACAAGCTTTTTGTAAGCAACGTTGGATAGTGGCAAGTGGCTATCAGGACTTAGTAGCTGAGTGGATAATGCGATGGCGTTTGAAGCGAATGGTACTGGGTTCGAGTCCCAGAGTGAATGTCAACTCTGAGATGCAGGTACATCCAACTGACGAGTCCCAAATAGGACGGAACGAGCTTTCTGGATCCCACTGCTAGCCACTATCCATCATTGTAATTATTATAGTTTCGTTCTTTTTGTTAAGCTATTCATGAATTCATTTTCAATCGTGTTGTATACTCTGATTTAAATAATTAAATAACTGAGCTTTCATTGTCATTTTGAACAATATCATCAAGGTTCTTTTTTCTACATTTATATATAAAACTGAACATTTTAACTATTTTGCAAATTTTAAATCGATTTTTCCTGGTAGCCTTGATTGTCACTAGCTATTTGATATGACGGGAAACAAAGTCAATTATTGATTAATTTACTCATTATGAGTTTTTGTTCAAGATTACTTCCGTTTTCATTCAATATAATGATTACTCAGTGTAGTATTTGTTTCCTTTTATGATATACGATATTCTTGTATTCCATTGACATGAACTATGTTCAGTATGTGATTGGTTATATATGTGATTTCATTCTAATTATGAATCAAAATGAGTGCACAATCAATAAATAGATGAGTGTATTTTCTACTAGAATCGTCGTCGTTGTTGTGGTGGTTGTATTTTGAGGTTAATAAATGTTCACTTATACCAGTCTTTGTGTTTTTACTTTCGTGTCGTGGAAATAATGATAATTTATTGATGATGAATAATTTAACTGAATTACATCACAACAAACTGATTACATCATTCACCAATTCTAATCCAAATAATACTAATTATATTTATATCTTTATGCAAGATTTATCACATTCGAATCTATTATGTAATCAACAATTTCATCATTATAAGAAATTATTATATAAAGTACCATTGAATTGTCTATGGAATAATCCAAGAAGTAAAGCATCATCATGGGCATCATCATCATCATTATCATCCATTAGATTACGATCTAAAATTAAAAAATTCTTATTATTCAATGAAAATTTAATGAAATTTATTATCAATTATACACAGTTAAATCATGTGAATATTGTCAAATTTTATGGTTTAAGTATAATAGATAGATCAATGAAATATTCTTCATATTCAATAATTACAGAGTACTGTATCAATGGATCATTGGATATGTATTTGAAAAATGTAAGTTATTATTATTATTAGTATTATTGTTCGATGTCGGGTCAATGGTCTAGTTGGTTAAGCGTCTGGCGCGAGACTGATAGGTCCTGGGTTCGAATCTCGCGGGGGGCGGGGTCTGGGATGCGCACTGCTGAGGAGTCCCATGCTAGGACGAAACTGCTGTCCAGTGCTTCCAGGTTTTCCATGGTGTTCTAGCTTCAATTGAATCGTGATTTCAACCAGTGAAATTTCTAAAATCTCCACAATACCCATTCTGATTATTATTAGTTGTAATATGCATTTTGTGTTTGATGAATGATCTACATTAAAGTTATGATTAATGATGTAATCACTATGAGGAAATCAATACTTAGGAGAGGTAAACACTAAGATTTATGTGATGCTGCTAGATTTGAAGCAGTTACGAGTTCACTTAGTCTGCGAACGAAACAATGACTTGTGATTAAAGATCAATAAACTAGCTATTCTATTGCGTCCCAGCCCCGCTAACTAGAAACAGAAGTCAAAGTTTGAACGGGGAAGTATATTCCCACAGAAAGCCATAAGCACCAGCTATAAAAACAGACACAAATCAAAACGTATATATACAGCACAAAAATGTCCTTGGGAAGAGTTACAAAATAGTATACTAAAAGACACAACGGACCAATAGCGTTTTAGATTCTCCCAAGTGGAAAATACGACATGGAGGTGAAAAGAGTGCTTTTGTTGCGAAAACAAAGAAATTCAAATTTTCTAAATAAAATTACAAAATTAGGAACTTTTCCAAGTGAGATCTGGAGATTTAACGTCCCCAATAATGTATTACCAGTTAAGAGTGAAATACCTGGCAGTAGAAGGTTATGAAGATCATAGAAAAGAGAACGAGAACAAAAAATGATTGATATGGAGAGCAAAGAACATTGATGTTTGAGACGATTGACTGATATTTACAAAAGGAACAGTCAAGTTTGATACAGTTGATTGATATTATGCAAATGAAGTATTTACTGTATTTTTCTCAGATTTTTGTGTAATATTGTGTTCAATTACATTCGATTGTCTTCATTTGTACCTTCGTTCACTACAATATTTTGTTTTGATATTATCTGAAGCCAAGATAGTTCACCTATTAAACGCAATGATTTTTATCAGAAGGGGTTTTGTGGAGATTTTAATAATTTCAATAATTGAAATCATAATTCTATTGGGGCTAGACCAGTGACCAGCGGAGTTCAACCAGGTCTGTTGTGACATATCAACTCACTGAAGACAATGGTGTACGGTGGCGCAATTTTGTGGATTGTTTGAAGCTAGACATTAACACCATTTGATGTAATGGTTAAGCGCTTGCGCGCTTGGGTTTGAATCTCGCGGGGTGCGGGATCGTGGACGCGCACTGCTGAGGAGTCTCATACTAGAATGAAACGGCCGTCCAGTGCTTCCAGGTTTTTCATCGTGGTCTAGCTTCAATTGACAATGATTTATATTATTATGTTTTATGTCCAATTTCTATAGAGTATATCTTCTATCTAAAGATAACTATTCCTAAAAAGGAAGCCTAAACGACAACATTTCAAATGACAAGTCATACTAGATCATATTATGATCAATTAAGAAGAGCAAATAAAAAGCATTAAAAGCATAGGACGAAAAAAAATCTGTCTAGTTAGAGAAATATTTGTGCCGATTGACTTCACACATACAATTCATTAATAAGCATCATATGACAACTAGAAGTTTGGTAATGCACACAAGTCTTATCTAAACAATGTATTATTTTTAGCACATCATTCAGTGTATGTCAACTGTCAGTTATGTAATACTTTTAATTTTAAAAACAATTTCAATGAATATATGACAAAAGCTAATTCTGAAAGATTCTTATCATCTATACTAAATTACCGTATGTACTGTACCAACATACATCCGTACATATATGCATACATATATACATAGTGAAAAAGTGACTGAATTTCGAAAAAGAAAACATCACTATGCATTTATATGTATGTTATATTTGTAATGAATTTCAATACATTCTTTTAGTCTACTATCAGTTTATTCTTTCTGATAAACAGTAATAGTTTTCTAGTAGTACTGTGGTGTGGGTTACTTATATCCACACAAGTAGTAATATAACGGTGGTCAGGCATAGAATGTATTTCAGTAGGTCAATGAGGAAAGAACGGGAACGGAAAGCAATTATTACACAATAAAGCACTCAGTCATTTCATTCAAATAATTTGTTTATTGATTTAGACAGAGATGGATTGTGGATAAAAAAGAAATCCAGGACACGTGCCTCGTCCGATTTGGAACTCGTCAGCTGGATGTACATGCATCCTGGAGTTGATGTTCACTCTGAGACTCGAACACATTGCCGTTCGCTTCAAACGCCATTGCATTATCCACTTAGCTACTGAGTCCTGATAGCCACCTGGTTGTGTAATGGGGTGATTTTTAAATTCATTTGGTGTTGTTCGCTCGTATCTCCCCGTTGTTATTTAAAACTGTAATTGATCAGTCTCTTGTTGGCATATGAATCAGCTTATATGTTAAGTGAAATCCTAAGATCTATGGTCAGAATAAATATGGGTCAGATAGAGTGAGAGAAATAACAGTACAATTACAATTCGAGCAAATATTTAATCGAAGACTACATTGTGTAAGCAATTATTAGTAAGACACAATACGTTGAGATGAATGCGAAGTAAATGAATCATGATGTTGAAGCAAAAATAATAATAATACAAGGATTTATGAATAGAGATAACAGAGACGACTACATTTAACTACGAAAGGTCGTAAATACAATAGTTAAAGTAGGTCATTCAATAATTAAGATTACTATTGATTAATTAGCATTGAGGTTGATGAAGGGAGGGGAAGCAGTTGAACATATTTTTTCCAGGTTTTAAATGATGGTCTAACACTGATCAGTTCATGATCTTAATTAATAGGACGAAACGGTCGTCCAGTGCTTCCAGGTTTTCCATGGTGTTCTAGCTTCAATTGACTCATATCAACCATAGAAATTATTACAATCTCTACAAAACCCCTTCTGATACTAATCAACATATGCTCACTAGTGACTAGCTTCAAGAAGTATATCCCGCAGTTCTAGTGGGAAGCAGTGACCAGTGGAGTTCAACTGGGTTATTTGTGAGGTAGTAACTCACTGATGACAATGGCGGATATGTCGCTCAATCTCATGGATTAGCTGAAGTTAGACATTAACACCGTTGGATGCTGGCTCAGTGGTCTAATTGTTAGGCGCTCACGCGAGAGACTGATAGGTCCTGGGTTCGAATCTCGAGACGTGGGATCGTGGGTGAGCACTGTTGAAGAGTCCCATACTAGGACGAAACGATCATCCAGTGCTTCCAGGTTTCTCATGGTGATCTAACTTCAATTGACTCATGATTTCAACTATCGAAATTAATAATTAAATATTAGAAAGATGACAATTTCATCAGTGTGTTATTTATCGTTAAAGTTTTAATTTATTTATTAGAAACTTTTATTTTAGTTAATTAATGTAAATGGTCATAAAAAAGTTTTTTTGTTTTGTTTTGTTTATCAAATGTCATAAAATTCCAGTTATCTTAATTTTCCTGAAACGTTTATTTTTCATAATCATGAATTGATCATATATTATTCGCTATATCTTGTCCAATATTGTCTGATCACGATGTGTTATTATTACTATTTATATTATTATTATTATTACCATCATTATTAATAGTAGCAGTAATAGTAGTAGTGTGATGTGAGCTACTAATATCTACATAAATAGCATATAACGATAGTCAGGAATAGAATGTATTTCAGCAGAAGATCGAGAAAGAAAGAATGGGACTAGAAAGCAATTGGTATGAAAATGCATGAAACAATGAAATCTGAGACGATAGAAACAGTCAAGTTTGAGACGATGGATTGATATTTTGCAAATTAAGTATTTACTGTATTCTCAGATTTTAGTGAGGTGTTCTGTAATTTCGTGTTGAAATACATTCGGTTATCCTTACTCGTGTTCTTGTTAACTACAGTTATAGTATTAGTAATGATGGTGTTTGAAGAGAATAGCAATGAGTTCGAGTCCTAGAGTGAGCAACAAATCTGGGATGTATGTTCATCCAGCTGACAAGACCTGGATGGGAAAAAAACGCTCGTCCTGAATTCCACTGTTAGCCATCATCCATTTCCGCTTATAATGCTTGTATCTTAAGACAATATCGAGGCAATCCGTAAAGGATGCACATATGCCAACAAGAAACCGATCAATTTCAGTGCCAAACATCAATGGGAAGATATAAGTAAATAACATCAAGTGAATTCACAGTGTTAACATGTTTGGTTGTGACAATACATGGCACAAGTTTGAATATGACAAGATGTATCAATTTTATTCAAGGTTGAAGATTCAATGTTCTGATAAGTAGTGAGTTCAACCAACAATAGGCGACATTAAACAAATCCTAATAGAAAATATACAGAAAAAAACTTCAATGGATAGCGTACTACTAATGACAATATTTATTTTTAATACTCTGAATAATTACATGTTCAGTTTAGAGAAGTATTTCACTTGATAATTAGTAGAAAACATAAACCTTGGAGATGATTTCCTAACCAATTATGGATCACTAAATTTTGGCGGTAAGTTTATTCGAATTGAACGGGAATGACATGACTTTCTAACTTATTCGAGGTCACAGCAGGTGATGAATACTTAGTTGAAATTACCCGATTGTGATACCCAGGTTATAACGTATATATAATCTTACCGAAGGGATCTATTTTACTAAATAGAGCAGATAAGTGAAGTGCATATAATATAAGCACTGTGGCGCAAGTCAATCAATAGCAGGAAACCGATCAATACATGTTGGAGATCCATGACGTTAACGAGATTCGTTAAATCAACCAGTCAGTTAGTTAGCTAAAATGTAGGACCAGACACATATATGCATCAGTACAAGTTGCCATACCGCATTAGCACAACAGGATGATAAACAAGTTCATAGAAATAGTCACTTCAATGGTAGTAATATTTAAAAGAAAGATTGCATATAAGGATATAGTACAGGAAGAAAGAATTAGTTTGTAGAAAGAAAGATACAAAGTAATTTTAATGTCACAGTTTAATGGAAGACAAAGAGTGTGATCGATTCTGACCCATGTCACCAAGAGTCACCAGTCATTGGTTACGATAATTACACGGACCCCAACCAAGTGGTCTATATCTACTAACATGGCTCAGACCAGAAGCTAGTGACTTTGTAGACTGGTGCCACGTTTTGGTTTAGTCCCCCCTAATTTTCTTCCAACTGTCTCCAACACTAATCAGCATTGTGCACCGCGGTAATCAATGTTCAGGTATACATATTAATTAGATCGTCCAAAGTTCACTGATGAGGAATTAGTTCATCTTGCTAAATTATTAGACATAGATTCAGTGTTATTATACTGTAGTGAACAGAACACGGGTGGAGACAAACGAATTATTTAACACGAAATTACAGGACTTATTAATAAAATCTAACAATCATAAAGTAAATGCTTAATTTGCAAAATGTCCATGAATTGTCTCAAAATGACTCAGACTTCATTGTTCTTGCATTTTCATACGAATTGCATTCTTTTTCCATTCTTTATTGTTCGATCCTCTTGTCTCTCTGCTGCCAGACCATCTGTTCACGACTAACATCATATACTACTTATGCCAATATAAGTAGCACACCATAATACTAGTCATATACAACCATCATGTATAGATATCCAACTATTGATGTGATATTTAATAAATAAACAACTTCTATATGCTCATTTAAGCATTTATTCATTTCCTCAAATATTTTAACAAACATACCGAATAAAATAATTCAAACTGATCTTCAAAAATCACATAGTTACAGTAACAGTGGGAAAACTGAAAATCATTTCAATGTCTGTTATTTTCCTTAAGAGAAGTCTATTCAATATCTACTTTGATACATTACAACTATTTTTTTCTTCTTACATAATAATATCTTTGATTGTATTGTATTTCATTTGCTATTTACAACCATTCAAGCATATTATTATTATTTGTCTAAATTAACAATAGTCTCTTATCTGTTCTGACTTTAAAAGATAAAGTCAGTCTATACAAACATTTTACCTAATTTAAACCAATATTTATTCAACACATTATTGTAATCAAATTTAAAATATTTCGAAATTTATAGTTGAATTCATGAATTAATTCAAGGTAGACCACCATGGAAAATCTGGAAGTATTGGACGGCTATTTTGTTTTAGTATTGAACTCATCAACAGTGCATGTCCACCATCCTGCATATACCAGTTGAAACCAGAACATTAGGTCTAACGCGTGAATGCCTAAACTCTAGATCACTGAGCAGTCATCCAACGTTGTTGATGTCTAGTTTCAATCAATCCACGATATGGCGCTACCGTCCACTAATGTCTTCAGTGAGTTTTTATCTCACAACAGACCTGGTTGAACATCACTGGCCACAAAAGACAATGGTCGAGCGGTGGCGCAGTTAGATATAGG